TAAAAATTTTAAAATTAGTTGCAGGAATTTCATAACCCCGTTAATTTGAATGTTTCTTCAGATTAATTTTGTCAGTAGATTGTGTATGATCGAAGAGAAACATGTGAAATAGTATGTAGATATGCATCTTTATTTAATGATGGGTGTTGTTTCTTTCAGAAGGTGATGCTCTTTTACAAAACCTCCATACTCGCCCGGAAAGGTTTACAAGTCACATAAAAAACCTTGAAAAAGAAGATACTTTATTGAAGGAAGAAAGCAGTACCTATGATGATATTGTTTTTGTAGATGTTATTGACACTTACAGAAATGTTCCCACCAAACTGCTGAACTTCTACCGATGGTAAGTTGAAAATAAAGTGTTTTCTGTTCAGAATGTTGCTGTCTGTAGTGCAAGATGATCTAGCATAGGTTCCATGAAATATATGCCTTATGTGATTTACTTCATCAAGCTGTATTTCTCTCTCACAGTTTTGGGTGCATGTAGTGAGTAAAATAACAACACCTATAGTCTTGAATGCTGACCATTGGTGCTTCAAGTAAGCATGAGCTTGCAGGACAGGCTTCTGCCCTAAGAGTCCAGGTCTGAAAATTGTCATGTCTCCTTGTAATTTCTTTTAATTTGTATCTAACTGAAAACTAGCAGTTTTAGTCTTTCAAAGGATGGCTTTTGGCCAGTTTGTGTACTTAACTCAGTGTTTCAGTTTGTGGCCATTGCCTCTTGTCCTGGACACCACTGAAAAGAGCTTGGCTCCACCTCTTTACATGCTCCCTTCAGGTATTTATACATCAATGAGCTCTCTCCAAGCCTTTTCTTCTTCAGGCTGAACAGTCTCAGCTCTCTCACCTTTCCTCATTGGAGAGATACTTCAGCCCCTTAATCATCTTGATGGCCCTTGCTGGACTCTCCACCCAGTATGTCCATGTCCCTCTTGTACTGAAGAGTCTAAGACTGCACACTGTAATCTAGATGTGGCTGCACCAGTGCTGAGTTGCAGGGAAAGACGGGAAACTTGAAAGGGGGGGGGGCAGAAGGTTTATAGGAAGAATTTTTCATAGTGTAACACATTGTCTGTGATGAATCTAATAAGTTATTACCTCTAATTTTCAATTATTTCCGTTACTCTGAGGCAACCGTTTCAATTAATTGATGTTGCTGTGGAGTAAGAAATATAGCTGACAGTTGTAATTTAGCCAGAATTCAGTTTAGCTGCTTGAAGATTATGGATTTATTTAACAAATTTCATGGTTATGAATGTAACTGAAAAACTGAACCATGCTTTCAGTTCTAAAAGTGAGTTTAAATGTCAAGACTTAGATCTTCGTGGTCATTTCTTACAGATTAGCAATACTTCAAGATTTAGTAATAAAAGGCTTTAAAAATGCCTTTCTTGTTATGAGAAATTACCCTTAAAAGCAGTGTTTGTAACCAACTCAGCCATGATTTATAAAATCTCAAGCTCTTTTTGGTTATTCTGTGAGTGTCAGACATTCAACTATTACAGACAGTTAAAGATTACATTTTTCATATTTGAAGGGTGCTTTTACTGAGAAGGAGTAAGTACGGAGTTGCTTCCACAGATGTTTGGTAAAACCTACAACCTTCTCATTACCTTGAACTGACTGTCTCATCCTGAAAGTAGGCTACTGACGTGTAGCCAGTGGCTTTTAACAGCTGTGCTGCCATCATCATCAGGGATTCATATCCTCCTGAAGTCAACACTGTTTAAGACAGATTTATTAATAAATCCACCATCTGTCCTGGAGAACAAAACTTTGTTTTCTTCAGCTCATGCACAAGTCCATGGTGTAAGATTATCCTCGGATGCAGCTGCATCTCCTTTCTGTAGGACAAGCAGTCAGGCTTGGTTGATAGAGAAAACATGTAAAAGTCAAGGGTAGGAAAGACGTTCCTTCCCTTTTCCTTCTCCCTCTGCTTCCCAAAAAACTTTTGCAGAACCTTGTATTGCGTATCTGTAGATTGTGGTGTGTTGCTCAGCATCTCATCACTTTTCTTTTTGGCTGCAGGACAGTTGAATCAACAAGTTTTGACTTGTTGCTGAAGACGGACGACGACTGTTACATTGATTTGGAGGCTGTTTTTAACAGGATAATGCAGAAAAAATTGGACAGGCCAAACATTTGGTGGGGGAAGTGAGTTATTTTCCGAACTTGTCTTTAGGAGATAGCATGTCTTTAGTGAACAGTTTAGTGATTTAAGTCTATTTTCATGTGGGTTCCCCTTTTCTGCCTAAGGAAGCCAGTTATAAAAGGCAGGACTTCTGTATATGTGAGAACTTTGAATCTCAGAAGACAGAAACTAGTAATTTACAATAACTTTCCAGAGTGTGCCTTTACAGTGAGTTAAACTTGCTGATTATCAAAATGTGCTAGTTTCAAAATGTGTTATAGACATCTTTGTCATGGTACTTAAGTAAATAAAAGTATTCCAGCAACACAGTGAGGTTAAAAGGCACGTGCATACTAAAGAACTGTAAACATTACTTTTGTGATTTTTCTGGTGGGCTTGAGGAGATGGGGTGAACAGGAGAAACAAAATTTCCTTTATGGTCTGCACTTTATTTTGACATCTGTGAGTGACAGGCATTGCTACCCATTTTTGCTGCTGTTTGAGACAGTAGATCTGATCAGTGAATTTTTGAGTGAACTTTCCCAGCCTGTATTACACTTGTGAATAACTAGGAGGATCAAAATAGTCTGCAGGTTCCTTTCCATTCATGGGATGCATTGCAGCTCTGGTATAGCATCCAATATAGCAGAAACTCTACACTACTATAACAGTCAACATAGCATAATGGCACAAAGGGCCTTCCTGTTGCCATCTGCTTACTGAGGAAAAACAGGCCTTTGCTGCTTTGCTTGACAAATCTGGTACTGACTGTTGCTTACTCATAAAGTGATTTAATAAGGTGTGTGGTCAAGTGTGTGTGAAATAGCTGGCTATCTTGTGGTTATCTCAAAGATCTGTAAGGGTGACATCTTCACGTGTAAATTCTCTAATAGTCAGTCTTCAGCTAAGGCAAGTGTGAAGTGTAGAGAACAATGCTGAAATAACTATGGAAGTATAAAATTATCAAAGCACGTGCTTCTCAGTCTGGAGGCGGTTGCACCCTTCCTGCTGTGATTCAAAAGAGTGGAAAATACTGAGTCTAAAGTGAATTGAGGTATCAGATGTGACTTCTATCTCTTTGGTGCTTTAACATGTCAGCTTATGCTGAGAATGTGCTGAGTCTGATAACAGATCTGCCACTCAGCTGTAATTTCTCCCTTTCAGGGCTGTTGTCTGAGGTGACAATTCTTAGTAGCTCACTAAAGCTTTCAGCTGCTGTGCTCATGACTGAACTCAGCAGTGCTGAACCTGTTTGTAAAATGGGGAGAACCTGCTGCATTGACACGGTTAATGCCACTTAGCTATGAGTGCATGAAGTATTTGTAAGGCCAGGGGAGTGCAATACCAGCCTGTTCCCAAAAAGGAAAAGCAGGATGCTTCTCTCTGCCTCACATGGCTGTTTGACAGGGTCCATAGTGCCACACGGTGTGGCAGTGAGCTCTGCCATGCTGCCCGGGGCTGGGAGTTTGTCTGGAGAGACTGCAGACAGAGCACTACTGGCTTTCTGCAGGCCTCTGGTAGTGAATAAAGTCTTCCTTAGAGGACACCACTACCAGGAAGGTTTTTTTGTAATTCAGTGATGGCAGCCTTTGAACATCCGCTTTGTGGAGTTTCATTTGGAAAAAGGCTTAGAGAAGGTACATATTGCTTCCTGGTTTTTAAGCAGCCACTAGTTTTATCAGGAAAATGAGTTATGTAACATCACTGTATCGCCATGCCTGCTGGAGGCACTGACTTTGTGTCATGTTGATTAATGAAAGGGATTAATTAACAGGACACAGATGTGCCTGTTACAGAACATAGGTAAGGATGCATGTGCTTTCCTGGATCAAAACCCAGCAGCAAGGTGCAGCATGCTGAAGACCTGACTGTGTCAATATTGGTTTTTGTTCTGAGAACTTTCTCTTATTACCCAAGATTGACACCAAACAATAGTTATGATTTAAGTACTTGTGTTCAATTAGATGTGTGCCCTAGAGAAATGAGGCTAGGAACTATAATTAGGATCACCTTCTACTTCTTCCTCTTAGTACTGTTTGTTGTCAACATTACTTACAATTGTTAGCAATGTTCATAGGTTCCACAGAGGGCTCTCTATAATCATCTCATACCTAACATGCTCTTCAGTTTCAGACTAAATTGGGCAGTTGATCGAACTGGGAAATGGCAAGAGCTGGAGTATCCAAGTCCTGCATATCCAGCCTTTGCTTGTGGGTCCGGCTATGTCATCTCCAAAGACATTGTTCAGTGGCTGGCAAGCAACTCTGAAAGGTTAAAGACGTACCAGGTAATAAAGAGTTGGTTCAGGTTGACTATCTTAAACTGGTCTTGACACAGTTTAGTGATTTTTTTAGTGATTGAATGAGTTGGAAAGAACATTGCTCAAGTATTAGTGTTGGGTTCTCCTGGCTAATGATGGCTTTGGAATGTTTGTGGTCTCTACACTTAGTGTGTGTTCTAGGTCAAAGCACAAATGTTAGATGTTTTGGACTGAGAACCTTGGGAGCTCTTAATCTTTGTTTCTGTACTCTGTTCTTCTAAGAACAATGTATTAACACAAGAAAGCTGGGAGGATTAATTTAATAGCCCTAACATAGTCAGACATAGGTTTTTGTAGCTACCATTCATTACTGCTGGTAGATGATGCAACTTATTCCAGGTCACCAAGTCATGCTTTATGCTTTCCTGATGCTAATATCTGTATTTTTTATTTTAATGTGTCATCTCAGGGTGAAGATGTAAGCATGGGCATCTGGATGGCAGCTGTAGGACCCAAGCGATATCAAGTAAGTCTGAAGGAATTGTCTGATCTTACAGAAAGAGAACATGCCTGTTCCAAGTAGCATAAAATAGGGGAAATGTTTTCTTTTTAAAAAGAAATTGAAACAACCATTGAATTAAAATCCAGAGGAAAAAAAAAACACCAAAATTTGAAGATGTATTTCAAAGATAAACCACAAAACCCCCACAAACCACCTGCAGATGCCATCCCTACCTCTCAGGTTCTCTGATTAGGTCGAGCAGATCATTTGGGGACCTTTGTGTGCAAAGTTTGTTGCTGTAAACAAAGAACACTCGATTCTTGAAAGTGAAAATTCCTGGGGACTAAATCGTTTGTAAGAAAAACTGTTGAAATGGTTCTCTCTCTAACAGGATGGTCTTTGGTTGTGTGAGAAGACATGTGAGAGTGGCATGCTGTCTTCCCCCCAGTACTCTCCCCAGGAACTGAAAGAGCTGTGGAGATTAAAGGAACTGTGTGGAGATCCATGTAGATGTGAGGAAAGATGATGGACTTGCCTTGGAAAACAGGGTAGTGTATAATGATCATGGAAAAGTGTACATTTTGATTTATTCCAGGAACAATAAGAAATATTAAGGTACCTTTTAATGTTGGGTTTCAACTTAAGCATAACAATATTTGCACATCCCTTTTGATAACTAGAAGTGGACTGATACTATTCATTTTCTATAGTATAGATTGATCTGACAAAAACCAAAATGCTTAAGATAAAAAAATTTCCTTTTTATATAAAGGTAAAGACCTACTTGTAATTAATAAATGCACTTAAGAATGCCAACTAGCCTGTCTTTTGTAAATTAAAGAATTACTGATTTAACTGAGTATAGAGCAGTACCAGGATCCAGTGGAGAGCTGTGCTCAGCACCAGGGCATCCGGTAAGTCTTGCTGCAGCAGGTTCTGTGCTGTCTGAAGGGTTGCCCTCATCTGTGCAGGGGCTGGGACAGCAATGGGGGTTAGGATTTACACTTACTTTGTTTATACCATTGCCATTTTAGATAAAAACAGGATCAAAGTTTGCTTATACCAAATCTTCAAGTACTGCAAACTTAGGAGGGATTTCTGAGAACTCACTGTGTTATTAGATATGAGTCTGAGGTTACACAGTGGAAAGTAAAGTAAGATTGAGGACGAGCACACTAAAGAATGTAAAATAAGTAGCATTGCCTTGCAGTGTGCTGAGAACTTATTTATACTATGGTATGTTAACACTGTAGGGTAGAATAAAGGTCTGTCAGATTTTGACTTTTAATAGTCTAAGGCTGTGTAGGTACTTCTAAAATTACTGCTGGGTTTCATTTGCTTTAAGGTTGCTGGATGTAGGTGAAAACAAAGAGCAAGTAGCCTCTCAGTGCAGCACTAATCTTGTCTTGTAAGCAAAGAGATCACAACTAAACCCTGTACTCGGTTCAGTAAAACAAATTCTCACTGCTGCAGTGGGAAGGCAGAAAGGTTACCTTGAGTTTTATTTAATTAAAGCATTTAAGTACTATTTGGTATCTCTCAAGTAAGAGAAATGAGCAGATGCTTTCAGGGAGGCTGATGACTGAGTTGAGGAGCTGAAAGTACAGTTGTACAGCCCTCTGGTGCCAGGTGTGAAACTCGTATTCGCCCACAGGTGTGTTCAGGCACAGGCTGTCCATACTGCCTGCGGCCACTCTGTCACTCTTCTGCAGCTCCTGTGTCGGCTTTTCCTTCAGTCTAGCAAGAGTCCCTTCTTACCACCGTACTAACACACAGTCTCCACTTTCTATTGAGTAAAACTGCAAAGGCTTTAAGTCATTGTCTAGTTCAACTTCTTTTCCTTCCAGCTAGAATAAGAAAGGAGAAAAAAAACCCCTATCAGACTTAAACTGAAATCCCTTCATGTAAACCAAATACACATCAGGCAACTGCAGTCAGGGAGAATCTGTCACATTACAGGAATGAAATTAGGTCCTAAATTACAGCATGAAGACTGCCCTCCTGAAGTAAAATGAATTTCCTTAGGTAGTATTTTAGAACATGCTATTGACCTTTAGCAGCATGAAGTATTTTGTTGCAGAATTACCCATTTTTAACTTACTTTAGAACTTTCGTAGGACAGTTTCAGTTCTGACCCAGGAATTTTAAATAGGCGATAGAGCAGTCCTTTGACCTTCTGAATAGTCATAGACTCTGTCAGGGGGAAAGAAAGAAAAGTTATTAGAAAAATGCTGCTGCCACTGAGCTGTAGCTAAGTACCAGTGTTTCACTTGCTTATAGCAACAGTGAAAGGCTGTATTGCTGCTTCAGTTCTAACACTGCAATAACATCTTCAGTATCTAAAATCGTAACTGCTAATATCAAATTGAAAATTCTTTAATCTGTGATGGATACAGCAGGATATGCTACTGCAGTTTAAGTGCTTTGATCCCATATACCAAATTAAAGTGTTACGGCTTCATAACTTACCATTTTTGAGTTTGTATTTCTCCATGCTAAACTAAGTGACCTTTGGGACACATACCAGTCAGGTTCTGACTACTTGCATCTGGCAACTGTTCCTTGAAGTTTTCATTACCAGGAATTGGCTTTCCCAGCACAAGTAAGTGAATGTCACTGTGGAACTAGTGCCATTCTTAGGAATGGTGTAATATTATTGGTCCCAAACAAATTGTCAGCAGAGTTGTTCATATAATGAAGTCAGTAACAGTAAGGGATATTTTTTGTAATGGATCTTGAATGAGTAGATGTAGTTTGTTCCTGAGGAGTTACCTGTGTTTGCAATAGATATGCTCAATATTTTGGTTGAACTTTCACTTCTTTTGAAGCTTTATCTAAAGGCACAGCAATAGCGAGTTATTCCTGTAATACCACATGTTGTACTTAGACAAATATTTTTCTATCAAACATTTTTGTAAAAGCTGTATCTATCTGATTTTATGCAACTTGTGATAATAAATGTGATTTTTATTTTAGAATAAAGCTTAAGTCTTTTCTCTCAGACTCCATTCTGACACATCTTTCCAAATTATCAGCTTGATTTATAACAGTCTTATTCATTCTAGGCTCATTACAGGCACTAAAACTTCAAAATACAAATTTGATAGAACTAGATTTCTAACTTAATGTATTACATCCTAGACCTCAGTATCTAGATCCGCAGATTACATAATTGCCTCTTAGGACTTCACGTTCTGGTTACTTGGTTAACACATCCACCAGATTTCATACCAGTTAATTAGCCTTTAATTGCCTCAGACACATTAATGATGAAACCAGCAGCAGAGGTCATAAGACAAGCATCAACTTTCAATCTTCACGCTGGACTAAAAGTAAGTATGAAGGCCAGAAGAACAGTGACTTTTTCAAACCTTTGACATTTCTTTATATGACAGAGGAAAGTCTTTAGCAGCTGACAAAGCCCGAGGCAGCTGCCATTCTTTAATACAGTTATTTGAAAAGGAGCTACAAAACAACTGCTTGAACACAAGCCAAGATTTCTTACCTGGTAGCTTTTTCTCTACTGGCTTCTGTTCAGGTTTCTCAGGACACTTAATTGTCAAAGCTTAAGGAAGAATGGTGAGGCATTAGTGAAAGAACAATAAGGCTGTTCTGGCAGGACCACAATCTTTCTAGTCTGTTTTTATTACAAATTGTTTTCCTTAGCTCAGCCTGATCGTCTAAAAAAATTAGGATGTAGGCTGCATCTGAGCAGCTAAGATAAGCATTAGGGAATCACTTCTAAAATATTTTCCCTAATTTACCAAAGATAAATAAAAACTTGATTATTTTAATAAAATGACTTTAAATTTTTCAGAGAATGACTAAATGCTAAGATGTTTTTTTGGTCAAAAGGAGTATTTACCTAAAAATGCTTAATTTCTATTTTGTTTTTTTTAAATAACCTGCAGTGGAGTGGAAACTGCTTATTCAGTTTAAAACGGGCTTTTGGCCCTCAAAAGCACCATACAAATAGATTTTAAGGACATTATTAACGCAATTCTTTTACAGAGATTAAAAGACTTATCCTTAAAAAAAGGTTTATATTACATATAGCCAATTAGATTCCTTGTTCTATTTAGTCTTCCGCCTAAATGCCTTAGAATATAATGCCTTAAAATACTGTTTTGCTCATGGAGTGAAAAAAGGTTCTGTTCTTCTGTCATCTGGGAAACACAGCTACATGACTTTGCAAGTCCAGGATATAACCTAGATTAAGTATGTTGACAGCCCCAAATACCAAAGCTACCAATATTTTTCTTGTCTGTCCTAAAGTTAACAAGTTATAAAAAAGATAATACCAGAAAACAGTGCAGCTGAGGTTAAAACTTGAGATGTTTTCTGTAAAGAAGCCATTCGCACATCAGAATGGAGTATCAATGACCTCTGTTCTTTATTGTCATAATTAATAAAATCATGTGGCTTGGGTTGAGGAGGAAATAGAGGGTACACAAAAGCAGGGATCTAGTCAAACTCACTGATACAGTTCAGGAAAGCAGAAATACAACTGGAACTCTGTGACATCTCAAAGCCTTTCGAACCTTTTGTCCGCCATATACACCCAGGAAACACTAGCTTATAAAATATTCTACATGCAGAAAGAACAATTTTGACCATTTCTGGCCTCTTACTCAGAAGCTGATTTTTCAGAGTCAAAGGCTGCCGTCCCTTCAGTTCTCCTTCTTCAGGTGCACCATATTCTGTGTGAAGGAAAGCGCATGTAGACGTGAACCCTTCAAGACTAAAACACAAGAGAAGACCTAAGAGGACTGTGGTGTAGGAGTAGGCATGATCCTGCTGCCTCAGTTCTCTCAGCACAGAAAGTGTTGGGGTCCTTCAGCACACAGTGCTGCAGACATGAGCCTTGATCAACTGCCAGAGCATTTGGGACATGGAGGTGCTGCTTAACATTCTCACTTTAAAAAAGCCACAGGGGAAGAGAGCTACTGTGTGCTCACCAACAGTTATGGGGCAGATGTTCACAGGTGTGGGGATCTCTGAGGCAGTGAGCCCAAGTTCCTGAGGCACAGTGCCCTGAAGTGCTGTGCAGTGCTGGGCAGCTGCCCCACAGGAGCAAAAGCCACTCACACACAGGCCTGCCAATGCATGGGCTTTCCTAAGGCTGTAGCAGCACATGGAAAAAGCATCAAGGGGAAGAGAAGTTGAAGACAGACCAAACCACAGTGCCAAAATTGAGGAAATGCTACTTTTACTGTACTTGTACTTACTAAGACAGAGTGATGGGTATCTGGGGTGGGCAACAAGAAATTCTTCGCTTGGTTTGTTTTTCTCTGGGTCCCAATGCCCACCAGCTTCTAACCAGTCATTTCCAAATATTTTGCGATAATCAAGCTCTGCTCCTCTTCTTTCAGCAGGAAGGATCTGTACTGACACAGGAATGGCACATAATGTAATTGTATAACTTCCCAGAGAATAAAATCAAATTAATGACACTGACTCCTTGGTATTACTTGGTGTTCAGTGTGTTTAACAATACCAAGAATCTTACAAACCATATCTCCAAACACTGACTGATCCATATATTCAGTACATTTTAGAGCCCTTACGAATCCTACAACCCCTAAGTCTGTGCACTGACTGAGCCATAAGTGAACATCTAAGCAAAGATGTTGCTGTATATGATGACACAAGGATGTTTTTTGTAGTTATAGGTTAGACACTGCTTCTGCTCTTCTTTATGATAAACATTTGCTGAAAATTTGACTTGGTTTAGATAATGATATTTTCCTACTGTGGAAAGCAAATGTTGGTATTACTGTCACTGAAACAGATCCAACTATGCTGCTCTTTTTTTTTTTTTTTTTTAAGAGTATGGTTTTTGTTAACAGTCCTGCAACTTCAACACAACACAGGCACTTGAAAAAAAACTCCATTGACCCACCTTATCCTAGTCCCCACTGAGTTAACAACATTCACAAAGAAGGCTTGGTCTTGTAACCTTACCAGCTGACCCACTGATGTGGGTGATGAACACTGGCATTTTACTTTTCCTGCATGCAAAAAATCAGTACCCTTAAAAGAAACTGAAGACAATTCCTCAGGCAGTGATTTAATGTTTTTCCCCAGACTCATGCAATTTGTTGAAATATCACATACCTCACAGTTATTCAAAACCTCCAACTGACTTATCTTGGCAATAATTAGCTGTATCAGGGTCTCTGGGTTCTTCTCTGTGTCCATGAGAGGGTTATTGTTACACTGCAGAGACCGCAAACTTGGCAGTTTATCAAGCTCATTGATAGATGACCACTGAAATGGAAGGGAACAGTCTTTTGAGGAAACATAAAACATCATTTCAGAATAATGCATGGTAACATTGACTTTTCCTGTACAATAAACATGACTGAAAATATTCTTTTGATCATCAGAACCAAGTACTTGGATTCTGTTCATTCACCTGAGGGAAGAACTGCACTACATTTAATTAAAAAACAAAGCAAAACAAGGAGCTAGTCAGAATTTCAGATCATTAGAATTATGAGGTAGCAGAGGGATATGGCTAGCTACCATAAACATGTTTAACTGACACGTTAGGAAATGTTTTTACACTTTTAAATTACACCTCTCTGTTGATCAAAGTATTCAATAGTTGTCTCAGAATCTGACAATCAGACAAAATTTTAAAAAGCGAACTGCAAGTTATTTTTAAACAAAGATACATGATCTTACAAAATGAGAAACTATCACAATGTAACGTACCTGTGATATTTTATTGTCATTTATTGCAAGGCGTTTTAGTGAAGGAAACATTTTAGTCTTGCAGCCTAGGAAAAACAGTAAATTACAAGACAACAGTGAAAACTTTAAATAAACCGTATTATAAAACTATAAATAAATCACTTTTTTTACATACCAAATCCAGCATCAGGAAAGTGAATAGAAGATATGCCAGTGTTTCTAAGTATTAGCTGTTCTAATCTGAAATTTAATAGATACGGTGATCACTGTACGTGGCACAAGAAGTTTTCTTTATAAAGAAATACTAGCTAATTTTTTTTTTTTTAATAAAGGCCTACAACTTTTGACATGGTGCATAATCACTGACAAATGAACAGCAGCCTCACAGACAGTACCCAGATTTCAGCAGTGTTCAGGGAATAAAATTTTCAGTGAGTGAGTGCAACAATTTCAAGCTTTCAGAATGGCTCCTGGATTTAATGTGTGATTTAAAGAATAAAATGTTGATTTTAATAGCTTGTGGCTATTTACAATCATGGATGCCATTTTAGTGCTCAGTGAAAGATAATAAGTCTGCAAAGTAGCAAAATGTGGTAAAATAGTTTGTTTCGTAAGTATATAATGAAAACGTAATAAGACACAGCTTAAGAATGTGTTGTTATGCAGTAAAGTAGGATTATATTAAAATAGCTCAACTAAATAATGCAGTTACTCTCCTCAAGAGGGCAAAATGCCACTACTTCAAGATCTCATAAATCTTTCATGCAACATCAATACTATCATATTTCAGTCAACAAAGACTATGGAGATGAATATCCAGGACAAAGTATTTCCAGCAAATTTGTTTACAGCTACCTGGGGAGATGTGCTAATAGATGCAGTTGATTTCCATCCAGTAACTGGTTGTCTGAAAGGTCTAACAACTTCAGGGTCTTCAGGACATTATCAGGTCTGATATATTGGAAAAAAACCCAAACAGAAACAGAACATTTAAAGTCATTAGCTAATGAAAACACTAGTTTCCTAAGTATATAGTTGACTGCACATAATTATGTGCATTTATAAATGTTTTGAAGTACATCACGTGAAGTTTGCATCAATTATTTTACAGTTATGTCACAGTGATGTGTTACAGGACTGTAACTTTATGTACAACATAACTTTGTGGTACATCACTCACCGATGACTGACTGACTTATGTTACTCACCTTTCCAAAACTGTAATACTATTAGAAGAAACGTACAACTCTTCAAGTGCTGGCCATCCTTGAGCACAGAGAAGAACCTGAGAGGAAAACTTTATTTAATATACAAAAATTGGGAAAAAATATTCCAGAAATTATATTTTATGCAAATTTGCTCTAAACATGATCAGAACAAGCTGTAGTTCTCAAAACCAGAGAAACAATTATTAAAGATTTCCTAGTCTTCCCTTTTGTCCAGATGGCTCTCCAGTGCCTGAACATACCAATATAGATGATATCAAAAGGTTTCTGTGGTCACAGGACTTACAGTGCCAGGCTTGAGGCTGCCCTTGCAGCTGAGACTGTGTGACCTGGAGATGGAGTGAATTTCATTCAGTGGGCTGGAGTGACCAGGTTTTCCCTATGACTAGGTGAGGAAATGGCAGTACAAACTCTGTATACAGCATAAAACAGAGTCTTGTATGCAACTGTGAAAGTGTCAAAATGTTCAGTTTTAGCACATGGAATTCCGTAAGCACCGGAATTGACAGCTTTTCTACGGATTTGTGCCTGCATGTGGAAAATTATTCTTTTCAGTGAGTTTCTTCTGGTGTGTATTCTGCAGAGTCAAATTAAGTGTGAGCTCATCCTGCTGCTCCTCCCTTGGTTAGGAAACTTACAAGGGCTCTTTCATCCATCTACATTCCTATTTGCTGTGAATTTGTACATAATAAATTATTTTTGAGCCCCTCACCTCTTTTCAAAGTGTGATTGTAACTGACTAGCAAATTCAGAGGTTTTGAGATGAAAGAACATAGACAGAAAGATGCACAGTGCAATCACCTAAAGTTTACAGGAGGTTACAAAGGTTACAAGAAGTGAAGTTCAGAGATCTGGACAATCCAATTAAATTTGTTAGGTTTATAGTTAACCCATTCTCCTACAAATGTCTACTGTCCTTGGCCATTAGAGCTGTATGAAGTCATACAGCTGGATGTATATATAACTGTCTCATTATATTTACAACACAAAGTATTAACACTGAGATCTCTTCAAGAGGCAGCATATGACTTAGGGTTCAACTGCTTCACACCCAAAAATATGAAACATCACCCTGCTGCCATATCTGCAACACAAAAACTTACAAACTCAGATAAAATGACTTTTCCTTCTCCAAAAAAAGAGCAGGAAACACCAATATTTTATCTCTCTAATGTGGATAGTGTTTCTCTATGTCAACAAGACAGACCATAATAGTTATCTACTGGTAGTGAAGAAGCATGACAAGAAACCTGCAGAGTCAAGAGAAATAAGATGCATGTTCAGCAACAGAGAACCTTTGGGGGATTCTTCCACAACCATCCTGTGTTGTGATGGATGGATGGAATATAAAAACTGCACAAAACTGAAGTAAAAGAAGATTTTTCAAAAGATTGACCAAATTATTAGAAAATTGCCAAAACCAAATGACAGGTCACATCACAATTCTAAGAAACTCAACTTGCCCAATTTTCAGCTATCACAGAAACAAAAGTTCACAGACACTGAATTAACACTCAGAAAAGATTGGAGGCTTATTGTGGAGAGCTGGTGGGGAGGCTGTAACAAATAGCCAGTGGAGTAGCCACTGATCATCAAAAACAGAAAAGTGGAAATGCAAGACCTATTACAAAAAAAAATAAAGATGACAGGAAACAAGTGTCTCTGTAAGTCCATAATGCTTCTGTGTTTTTACTCTCTTTATCCCAAGAAGCAAAAAAATATAAATGGGAAAGGTACAAAGAAGCTAAACAAAAATCAAAGCTATGAAACAGAGAATAGTTTTCTCAGTTACTGCCATATAAAAGATTGGGACTTATTGCATGAAATTTTTAGGCAGCAATATCATAAACCAAAAAGGGTTAAGTTGAATGTTAAAAGATGTGGATAGCAAAATTTTCAAATGGGTTCTTAATACAGTTAGATAAATCATGAAACAACAAATCCACAAAGGTTAATTAAATAGAGATACATAATCTCAAGCTCATAAAGACACACAATTCCAGATTACAAGAAGCTCTTACCATATGCTTACCCTTTGCCTAGAATTTTTCCCAACTACCTGCTACTTGCTAGTGTCAGAAACATGATCCTGCACTTCTGTTCTAACCCAGATTTTTCTTTTACCCTGTATAATAGTAGATTATATTATGAATGTAAGATCTTAGTTTGAAAACTGAATGACAAATATAACATTATTTAAATCCTGAATAAGAAAAAATGGTTTTAGAACCATAAATATGAATTCTTTACACTCAAATGCATAAATTCCATTTCTAAGTCAATGGTTGCTAACTTTAGGATATTTTACAAGACATTTTTCCTTCTTGAAGATTATATGTTATGTTTTGAACAATCAATTAACAATTATACAGTAATAAGCTCTTTTACTGATATAGAAATCTCAGATGTATTTAGATATATGCAAATAACACACTAATGAAAGAACTTTTTTGAAAACTGATGTTCAAGGCATGTAAACGTGGAGTTATGTATAATTGCATAACAGTTAAGCATATCCCTCTACTTTAAAAAATATTTCAACACAAAGGAACAGATAAAAAATCAAAAAAAAAAATCTCCTCTTCTCTTTTAAGGAGAATGCCATATCTTCTTACATATGACAGTAAGCTATTTTGAAATGCTGTTCACCATTAAATTGTTTTAGCTTTAATTAAAAAATTTCTAGGACTTTCAGACTTTGCTTATATTCCCATTGACAATCAGTGTATATCTTCTCTTTTTCCTGGATTATATTCATTATTATTTTCCATTTTTGACTTTTCAAGTAACTCTCCTTAGAGCTTAAGCACTGACATTTTCAAGTGGTTTGTTCACAGAGTATTGATGTCAGGTAGTTCCCTTTATTTTTTCCCTTTTGTTTGACTACCCTGAAACAGCACTTTTAGGCACAGGCTTATGTCTCCTGGCTTTTGTCTCCCAGCTTATAAGGGAATGAATTGGAATAAATTTCAAATTTATAAAAGAGATTTCTGAACCAAAAATGTCTTTACAGCAATGATGAATCGTCAGCTAGAGCAGAGTTTCAACAAAAAATGCAAAACCTACATAATTTTAAATTGCTCTGACTAACCTGAGGTTTCTCTCTGAAATTTAGTTATCCCTAGAGAAGTCTAATCTGCCTTCAGCAATGACTCCAACCAGCCTTTTGGTCACCTGGGATGGAGGAAAGCTGCTGGCAGCAGCTTTCACATTATAAACAGTACAATGCACTGATTTACTGTGATGAGCACTAGATGACATTTAAAGTGTTTGTAGCCACTTAGTTCTTCCATTCACTTCACCCTTCATATTGCCACTGTTATGGAAGGATTATCAACTGTCCTCCTATAAACCCTGTGGATGGTTTAAGAGCTCAGTGAATGGACACTAAACAAAAATATAGCAGTGACCGACTTCAAGCCCAGCTGCAAGACAGGAGAATGAAGAAGCTTCTTGCTACTCAAACCCCACTTTTACTGGATAGTGACTGGCAGCCAAAATATGAAAATTCATGTCATTTTACAATGTAGTACAACAAAAACTGCCCCTGACAAATCCAAATAATAGTCTGGAACTTACAAGCCTTTATAAGTAACGTGACACTACTGAGATGCAATTCCTAAGCCCCATCTCTGAAAAAAGGCCCACTGCTAACATATTTGACAACCAGACTTCATTCTTAATCATATCAGGGGAGAGTAATTTAAATGTTTGCATGTTTCAGCACCTGAAAGGCAGAGCTTTGTTTATTCTGTGCTCTGTGTTGCACACAACCAGGCATCAGGTATTTCAAGAACGATCAGTATGTGCAAAGATACTAAGCCAATCTCCTGTTGATGCAAAGTGATGCCAAAACAAGTATTTCTTGTCATATTGATGTATTCTCTTTCCATTTGCCTTTGTTCTGTTGCACGCATAAAAGTACAGATAACCTTCAATAGCTACAAGGAACCAAAAAGTTTTCATTTAGACAATTATACTCCAACTGCTTTATCTTGACTTGGCAGTTTACAGATGTAACTAACTACATAACTAATACAATTACCCCACAGCACCTTTTCTAAGGATGATTACATTTCAGTAGAATAACATAGTGCTTAAATGTTTATTGTGCTTTCGTTGCCTCAAAAACCTAATGATATTAAATAAAAACAAACCCAGGAAAGGTTATTACCTCTGTCCATGTTATTTCAGTTTGATTAAGTGCCAGAATCTTCAAATTTGAAAATGCACTGGATATAGAAGCTGATGTAGATGGAAATCTCATTTTGTTTTCACTATATAAAAAGAATAATTATTTGCATAATGAACAATTGCATTTATTTAAGTCACTAGTTTGGAATTACATACTAAAGAGAAAAACAGTTTATACCAAAAAAATTTTAAAAATCACTGTCAAGATGTCATAGATTTTAAAATATAATAAAATATACTTCTAGTTACATTCAACCATACTCCTTCCTACTTTTCTACTTCAGGAATGCATATTTATTCATCTGTGGTCTCTTTCTCTCCTTTTCTTCCCCTAAGTTTTGAACATGAAAAGGATGTTTTTCATTAATATTAAATGAAACAAAGTGAGATTTTTGGAATCTAACTCCTTAGTGTCAACTGAAAATAAAGAGCCTACATGACTATCCAGATGCCAGTAAAACAAAAGTATGTAAAATCCACTCTCAATAGCAAAGTATCACTACAAAAAATAAAAAAAAAGATAAAAAAGATTCTCAAATCTGCAGTCTTCAAATAATTTTTCATTACTCACCTCTAAACAGAAGTTTTTATTTCTTACCTAAGGTCTAATCCACCTGCTTGTTCTCATAAAAATCTCTCAGTGTAGTTCATACTTACTTATGGGTTAAATTTCCACATAGAGAGCTGGTAGATGGTTTATCACTTTTAGTCTTCCAACATTCCATGTACAAAAAAAAAATCAGTCGCAGACTTACCTTCTAAAGGTCTTTCTTTTTTAAACAAACAGAAGGTCAAAACAATAAAAAACTAATTCAGACTGTGTCAGTTTGTAGTTGTAAGCATCAGATTCCAGCATCAATCTCATTTTGTTTTCTATTTCTTTTCACAAATAACTTCTGAAAACCATTCAGTCTAATCTACACTTCTCAATAATGAAAAACTGAAAAAAATATTCTGGGTGAATTAAAATAAATTCTCTGTATTCTCATGCATGCTGATAACAATAAATCATAATATGCTCTAGTAAAATTAGATTTACAAATAGCACCCAGGTTGCAAACAGCTGTTCAGTGCTAAATATCAAAGAAAATGGGACACCTCATTTTTGCAATATTAACTATAAAAATAAATAAAAAAACCTGGCAGTTTAGGCTGCTACCTATTTACAGACTTTAATCCATTGTGTTAGCTCATATCAGAAAATGATTCTGCCAGGTGCCAGTTACGGTGCATAGGTGTATACTAGAAATGTTCTTTATTTTGAAATTATTTTGTGAATTCTTTCTTGTTTTGATGGAATTGCAGCTTTATTTAACAACAGCCTCCCTCCTTTTCCAGTGTCATCACTGTACAAGAGATTTCCCCCTAGATATGTCACCATGATCCACAGTTCTTATCAGTATCATTTTAGGACAGAAAGGGGCTGGGGTTTGGGATACTTAACATTTGGTTAAAGCATTACTGATATTTCAGTTTAGTGTCAGGACACTTGGTAAACATCATTCTTAAACAAAAGTGGGCATAAGTAAAGACTTGCCTGGGTAGTCAGAATATATCAACAATAATAAAAAACAGAGATAAAGTGTTAGGACTTTAAAGAAAATGAAAATATATTTACTTTACAGTTTTTCTATGCAGAAAAAAATTTCTAAAAATTCTCATGGAAAAAACCCAAACAGGTTTGCAAACCCAGAAGGCAAACAGACAGCTACTGCTAAACCTGATTAAAAAACACTAAGCAAGATGTTTAAGAGGTAAGGATGTGCTACTAGAGCTTCCTCAGGCAATCTGCAAACTCCTGCAGCAGCGTCATGGCAAGGTCTTGGCTTCTGAGGGGCCCATCTGCCAGTGCCGTGCAGACCCTACGCACAAGTACCCAGAGAGCACACACTGAACTTGGCTGTGCCTGCTCTGAAGTTGGCCTCCTGCTTCAAACCAGGCTCAGTGCACCCCTGCAACATGGGTGCACACACATGTTAAGTCAGTTCTGCCTTGGGAGAAACTGAGCTTTAAAATCAATAGAATTAGTTGTCTTAGACGTCACAAAAGTGTGTAAGGGCATCTTATGACACTGCAAACTTTCGTTTCTATACTCCTTGTTTCTTCTTTTCTATAAAAGTACTTTGAGTAATTTTTTTTACCTTCAGTCTAACTGCCTAAATCTATAATCCCTAGCCAACGAGCCAATTTGCATAAAAACGATGTAATCTCTTATGTGGAACATGTTGACAAATGCCTAGAGTCCTGTAAGTGTTCAATGGCTGAAATATATATTCTATTTTTCAGGTAACTGATTTTTCTAATTTTACAAAACTCCAGTCAACATTCATCTGTCCCAAACACTCCTCCAGAACTTAGTTTTACATAGATGCTAAACTCCTAGAGTTCTAGTCTTTTCTTGAAAAGAGATGTGTACAAATATATTTAGAAAGTTAAACCCTGAGCCTCTTGTTTTTTGTCCCTGTCCCAAAGGAAGAGAAAGCCAAATATGAATATTTATACCTGACATTAAGTGTTTCCAGATTCTGAACTTGAGATGCAATATCTATTACTGTCTCCCAAGACGATATCAAATTTTTTGATAGGTTTATATGCCTCATATCTGAAATGCCATGTTAAGAAAAAGAAACTTATCTCAAATCTGAACTTCCTTTTTCAGAAATTAGAATTAGGGTTTGAATAAAATAAACAGAAATAGATTACACTTGTTTGGACTAAGAGATACTATTGCTCAGTTACAGCAAATTTTATTTTGATTTGTGGTATGGACATGGTTTACAGTTTTATAAAATAGCTTAACTTTTCAAATCCTAAAATGGATTAATTTCTATACTGACAAGAACTCTTACCAGTCCTTTCAAATGAATAAATAATACCTTTTCTGTATTTCTGTAACACTGTCACAACACACAGCATACTGAACATATTATTTGTTATATATTGGAAATCTCTGGTGTCTACAGAACATATCAGTTGTACTTTTATGGAGTTATCTATTCTAGGGTTAAATTTAAAAAAAAAATTGCTGAAGCCTTTTGAAATTGCAGTCACAGTAGCAATCTATGACAATACTTGTATTTTTATCCACAATTTGCATTTCCTCTCAAAAACTGTAGGCATCGACTTTTTAACTCTGCAACTATTGCATTAAACTTCTAAATATAAACTACAGTTTCAATCATTTTTTAATAAAAGGATACAAGTATCATTCATTGAAGTGAACACTTGGAATGCTAAAGTATATACTTTACTTGTGGTATCATGCAATGTAGCAAAAAAGGATACTGGCACACGTTCTGCTGATTTCCTCTGTCTGACCAGCATGGCTCACTGCACACTCACGCACCGAGATATCTACCAGTTTGTTCAGTTGTCTAAATGAGAAAGAACATCCTATTAATTAATCTTCAAACAGAAACAAGTGTGTATAAATACCTGTATAAATAACATCCTTTTTATACATACCCTGTCCTTTGGAATTAGCATTGTGGAGATTGCTACATTGCAGTGTCATTCTTACTCGAACGTCTCTGTTTTTTGTCTTGACATTGCTACTACAAAATAGGTCTGGTGGAACCACAATTCCCACCCCCCCACACTCCCCCCAAAAACCCTTATCCAACTGAAAAAAAAAGAATGATAAAACAGATTAAATATAGCTATGCAAATTGGAATTTAATTAGAGGTTCCAAGTTAAACAGGTTTCTTGCAATACTTTTTGCAAGAGGTTCTGAGTAATTTGTGCATCCTTTGTAACACTTAGCAAATAATTTAAAAAAAATGTATTTTTGACTGCTTAGTATGTTTTGGGAGACAAAGGGAGAATAATTGTGGAACATCAGCTCAGAAGTAGACTGCCACCTACTGAACTAATACATCTCTACTGCTAGAGGCCATTAAAACTGCAATTTACTACACATCATTAAGTTACTTCCTTTCTTACCCTTCCAGGTACATGAACGCAACATGAACTGACTGAAAGAGTTCTTCACTAGCAGTACAGTGACTTTCTGCCTTCCCTTTCTTAGTTACAAAGTCATTAGAGATATGAGTAAACGAAGATTAAATAATACTGTATAATATTAAGAAAACATTTAAATACATCTATTTAAAAAGGAGCACGCGTGTGTATGATAATTGCCAATATCATGATATCTGTCATTCCTCCCCAGATATCTTCACCTTCTACTTTGTGAAATCAAAATGAAGATTGTGAGTACTCAAGCATGACATAATCCCAGTTCCTATCTGTAAAACCTGTAAATTATGAAGCCACAATAGGAAGATTTTTTGTCTCTTCCACCATAGTGTAGTTTGGCTTACCTTTAGACATATGACAATATTATATGCATGGCAGTCAGCTTCCTTTCCTTTCAGTTGAAATACTACTTGACTATCAATCACTAATAATGTATCTTAGATTTTCATATATCACACTTGCCTTTGCTGTTCTGCAACGGAATCCATGCCAACGAATTCCACAGTCTTCGTTCCAAATACTACTGTATTCTCTGTCCCATACTGAACATCTTGCTTATCATTCAATCCGTACCGATCCTTTACTGCAGTAAGAAAATCTACTCCAAAATTTGCCTTGTTTGGCCGGATAAATGATCCTCCTTTAGGATGCCTAGAACAGAGGAGCCAGGAAAAGCTGAAATATGAAAAGCTGTAGTAACAACGACTAGCCTCAAAAGTACTAATTATTACTTTTTCAAAAAAAAAAATACCATGAACGAAAGCAGTCAAAAGGCAATTCTACAGGCTAATTTTAAACATCACTGTTCCCACTCAGTGAGACCAGCTAAGACTTTCAAAGTATCTTTTATAGTATTTGACAGAAGAGTTCACATTGTGAGATGCCATGAGAACTGAGGTACCAGTTCTCCAAAGGTATTGACACATCAAAATTAGTGGCATTAATTAAAATGGCACAGTGTCAGTGCCATTATTAAAAATAACTGCTCTTTTGTTTTCAAACTCATTATGAACTCAGTTTCGTTAGAAAATTAAGTTTCTACCTATGGATAGACACAAGTTATCTAAATCATACAACAAATGTGTCTGGAGTCTTATCACAGCCTAAGGCCCACAGGAATACTCAGGATAGTCATTGCTACATCATATTTGACTTGCATAATTCCCTTGTAATTCTAAGATAAAGTAACCTTGTCCTTCCATCCACACAAATGACACAAGATGCAAATTGTAGCACTTGGAACTCTTATACAAACTCAAACTTTTAAAATTTCTGATACTAACTTGGTAACAATTTTGAAACTGAATATTCAACAGAAATATCCAGCTAATAATGTATGTTCTACACAGTTCTATGAAGTTTCTTGTTTTTTTCTTGAGCACTGAAAAAACTTTGGTGCATGACAATTTCTTGCCATGCAATTGCATTGATATTTTCTGTCAAAGTTAGCAAGGAAACACATTATCCAGGATGAAGTAGCAAAGACAAGTTATAGAAATGGTATCACAGAGCAGATGGAAGATTTCATAGGAGGATCAGCCTGAAAACAGCAGGAAAAAAGTTGGTAGCTATGATTACCTGTCACTTATATGAATAAAACTTCTCAAAACAGCATGTAAACATCAAGTGGCTAATTAGCAATACATAATGCTACAAAGTTCAAAAGTCTCTTACAGAGACCGTGAATCCTACGGACCTATTACAAGTAGATGGAATAGCTTGGGCACCATATATTCACTTCTTTTTGTAAAAAATCAGTACTGGAAATTTCCAGTGCTAGTTTCATTCATTAACATTTCTAATACTTATAGAAGTAGTCACATATCCTAAAGAAAGGCCTGGGTAGAAAGTACATATTATTTACATTCAAAATATTTCCAGTCTAGTTGTGCAGTGACTGAGTTCAGAGTGCAATGACTACCAAAGAAGCAGAAAGGCAAACTTGTAGAGAATGTAAATCTGGTATGTACTTCTCACTTTCAATAAGCATTTTCAATACTCTACATTTTTAATCCAGTAACCTTCTCTTAAGAATTTTCCTTTTGAAGTTCTTCATAGCTTGCAAACATGTGACTGGTTTAAATGTTATGTGACTCTTTCTTAATATGACTTCTTAAAACAGTAAATTACAATTTCACCACCTTAACTATAACATCTCTTATTTGCAAAGTATATCACTTTGCATTTAATTAAGTCAAACAGCTTCAGGATTCTACCTGGAGCTCTGGAAAAAAAACTCGTACTCTTGTCTATCTGTAATTCACTGTAGGTCCTGCTGTATGTCCATTTTCCTATCACCTTGATTCTCTCCATTTTGTCATCACCATCTCATGCACTCAATAGTTCTGCTACTTTCTTCCCTCTGCTCTCCTCAGCCCTCTCACCAGAGCTAATCTAGATAGCCCGCAGACATCCTTCCTGTTGTGCCATTTATCTCTGCATAGCCAAGCCCCTTTGGGTCTCTCTATCACCATACCCATTCCTTAGCCCATTTCTGTCCTCTCAGGTCACCACTTCTATTGGCATCTCCTTCCTCATTGTCTTTGCAGGAGTGAGTTCTATCCCTAGGAAAAAAAAAAAAAACCACAAAGGAAACTAGCTACCTTGCCACTTTTATTTAAAGGAAAATTATAGTGTATTTATCTCTCAAGACTCTTCTATTTTTGTTTTGATCACAAGATCATAGGGTTTCTCTCTCCTGTTGCTACCACTTCAAAGTACGATGCATGCTTTTATATATTATCTAACATATATTTAATACCATTTCACAGCCTGAGTTTCTTTTTCAGTTCCATTCTATTAATTTGATCTACCTTTTCAGGAACTGTCATGAAGGACAGGAAAAGGGACTGCAATAGGAACATATTTTCAGACAAAATGATTGTGGATTCAAGGAGAGAGATCACTGTAATTCATTTTCCCTGAAATACACTGCCTGCATTAACTTTCACACTAGGGCATATGAACGGCACAAGCAGTATGTACGTATCAAACAAATAATGTACAGCACTTGGACTAATGAAAATGCACACCTCTTAGCAAGCAGTCTCTGTAACTGGGGACTAAACAGATAAACCCTAATCCAAAGAGTCATCCTGCATTGCATATCACGAAATGGAAGAACCTGTGGACTACTGATCAACCTGACTTAAGCTGAACTCTCAAAAGTCCGAGAGCAGGGATTTTGCTCCCATGTATGTAAAATCTCTTGCAGCCAGGACAAAATACTGTATGGAAATGAAGTGGTAGAAGATATGGCCCAATTTCACTAAGCAGAAAATAAGGCATTTGCCCAAGTGGGGCTCTGGCAACCAGCTGGCTCTGGTTAATACTGACACTTCCTACTGACTTTTAAAATGGAGAGGTTGACCCCAGTCTCAGAAGTCATCTTGTAGGACACTTCCTACTCATGATCCAGTAGCCTGAAGCATTACAGCCCATCTGGTGATGTGTCCAGGGCACTTCAAATATATTCATTAGAATTTGGGTTAGCTATCAGCTTTCACTGAATAAAGAGGAAACTCGGCATCATTCTTTGCTAATGGAAAATAAAGTGGTGGCACTGCTCATCATTACAGGTACATGATGGTTCTTCATATGCTAGGGAAATGTCACACACACACACTTCTCGGTACCTGAAGAGTAATGCAGGAGTACATAAACCGTAACAGTTACACACTTGAGCTGTGTGACTGCAGAAGCGAGCTTCTGAGCCAAGGAGATCCCAGCTTTATCAGCCTGGCAGTAAATGTGGATCAAAGGGCTTCTTTGCCCAGTACCGACTGTTTTGCAATGATTATCTCCAGGCAATTATCATGACCAGAGCAAATACACTACCAGGCTCATAAGGTGTCATAAAATGTAGCTGCTTGAATTCATGCACATCTTTTCTAGATAGGCTCTGAACAGATCTCTTCCTTCTAGGGGAAGTGCTCAACGGACCAGACTTCTTTTAGAAGAATCTACACACTGCAGTAAAGTAAACCCTTCAAGTTTTAGAACAGGCTGTGGCATCCAATAACACTTATAAGTAACACGTGCTATGGTGTATCAAATTCCTGACCGAACAGCAGAAGCTTTGCAAATGTCAGCAAGAACTTCATGTTCTTGCAAGTTTACCTTAAACAGACATGGAGCTTTCACAAAACAAGGAAAGACAAAGAGACATCTGCAGTTCCAGATGCTATCTTAAGGTTCTGCTAGTGCACAGGACCTGTTTGAACAATGGTTAGAGACAACAGTTTTGCTTCAACACAGTTCTACTGGCAGCAGAGAGCAGAAGTCTCTTATGGATACAGTGACACACAGGGAAACAGTCAAAGCTTCCTAACTGAAACCTTCTCAGGCTAAAAAGAATCTTGGGAATGCATTCTCCCTTTGCTAAATGGCAATCACTTTTTTCTTCATAGACACTAAAATGTTATTGACATCTTTCTCATATTTGAAGATTTTGTTTGTGCTCTAAGTAGATATTCCTGGAGATCAATCTGTCATTCTTGAAGGAAAAACAGCCTAATTTAATATAAACAGATATTCTTCTTTCATGGAGCAGATAGATCATCTTCAGTGACATCACGCAACATGTACAGGACAACCAGAGGATCAGGTCCAGCCAGTGGGAATTTACAAAAGGCAGGTCCTGCTTGACCAACCTGATCTACCTCTGTGACCAGGTAACCCACAAGGGGATGAGGGAAAGGCTGTGGATGTTGTCTACCTAGACTTTTGTAAAGCCTTTGACACCATTTCTCACATTCTCCTGGTGAAACAGGCTTCCCATGGTGTGGATGGGTGAACTCTTTGCTGGATAGAAAACTGGTTGGATGGCTGGGCCCAGAGAATGGCAGTGAATAGAGGCACATCCAGCTGTTGATTGGTCACTACTGGGGTTCCCCAGGGCTCAGTGTTGTTCTGTTTAATATCTTCATCAATGATCTGGACGAGGGAATTGAGTGCACCCTCAGTAAGTTCACAGATGACACCAAGTTGGATGAAAGTATTGATTTGCTGGAGGGTCAGAAGGCTCTGCAGAGGGATCTGGACAGGCTGGATTGATGGGCCAAGGCCAGTTGTAGGAGGTTCAACAAGGCCAAGTGCCAGGTCCTGCACTTGGGTCACGATAGCCCTGTCCAGCACCACAGCCTGGTAGAAAAGGACCTGAGAGTGCTGGTCGACAGTGGCTGAACATGAGCCAGCAGTGTGCCCAGGTGGCCAAGAAGGCCAATGGCATCCTGGCCTGTATCAGCAATAGTGTGGGCAAGGAGGTTGAGATGGGATATTAGGAAAAATGTCTTTGCAGAAAGGGTCATAAAGTATTGGAACAGACTGCCCAGTGAAGTGGTGGAGTCATCATCCCTGGAACTGTTCAAAGAACATGTGGTTATGGCACTTGAGGACATGGTTTAATGGTGAACATGGTGGCCAAGTTGATAGACTTGATGATCTTAAAGGTCTTCTCCAAGCTAAAAAATTCTATGATTCTGTTGGGCAGGAACATAAAATTCATGCAAACAGCAACATACACTTGGTCACAACTGCTCTCTATACTTATAAACTCTTATAAAACTCATGTTTTATAAGTGAAGAAGTGAAGAAGAAAAAAAATTAAAACCTGTAATGCCTTTGCCATGGCACTTCAGGACTCCACAAATATGCAAAAGTCAAAGTTACTGCCAGAAGAAAACAAAGGTGAAAAAAAGGTCATAAAGAACTGAGCAGCAATTGCAATTCTGCCAATCTGGAAACATCACCGAAACAAGTTTTACTATATTTTCCTCCATTTCTCTGGCCTGCTGTCAAAGTCAAACCTGGGGAAGTAGATTACAATTCAATATGGTCAATACTTCTAGCTCCAGGATCTGCTGAAATATCAGGATTCCTCTGGGAAGTGATATAGGAAGAACAAAACATTCTCTAGCAGGGAGAGAATTATGACTCAAAGTACTCTAAATGTGTGATGCAGCAGAATGTTACATCTATCTTGTCACGTAAGCAGAAAAGTATGTTCATCTACTGCTGGGAAATCTACACATCTCACTCAGCAAAATGGCACGGATAAAATCAGCTGCTAAAATAGCAGTGCCTGTGTAGACGCTATGTTTAAATGGAATACCCAAAACTGACTGAGAGGAGGGCTAGTGAGGAAGATGACCCCTCTGCCAGATTAATAGAGGGGTGAGAGTTCACTCCACTTGATGGGAAGCATAAAAGAAGCCTGAACACCAATAACTGTGGGGAGAAAGAAGAGGGTACCAGAGCAGCAGGCAAAACCTGGTTTGATGCTACCAAAAGTCACCCCACCAGCAGCACATTTTTGCCTTGGCCAGTCAGAGTTGCCTCCTGGTCAGATGATGAGGTGAGCCTGTGCCCAGCAAGGACAGACATCGTGAGGAGCAACGTATGTGCTCCACATCTCAGTGTGCACATGTGACCTCAGAGGTGCTTTCTACCAGTATACATGTTAATAGATGTCAGGAAGCAGCGCAGGAATACGGAAGCTGGAGCACCCATGTCTCCCACAGGAGCTGTGTGGAGCTAAGGCACTGGCATTCCCAGGGGAGGAGTGTGTGCTTGTAACCCACATCTCCCAGGAGAGCACATGCACGTAACTGTGTGAATGGGTCTGTGGGACGAGAACCTCTTTGAAAACATACTCATGTTTCAAAAGCTGTATACAAATTTTAACACTGTTTTAAGGCTTGAGTACTCCTCCTTTCTCTCCTAGGACTGTAGAATGTATTTTAATCACATCATAGACTACTGCAGCTGACAGTTAAAATAATAGCTTCCTCAGTTATTAAAAAACAAGTTGCTGTTATCAAGGAAAAGAACTCACAAAAATGTCACTAGAGTATGCATTGCCATTTCTTGCTGATCCAGAGTTCATGAATGTGCTCATGATGTCAGCATATTTTGAAATATGGTTGTTTTTTTCTTTGGTTTTCATATTCTTAAGAAGCTTAATTATCACCACATAATGTATGACCCAGATAAATGTACTGCCATGAAATATAGAAGTTTAGGTCATATTTTAAAAAAACTTACTATAAAGATCACACATAGCTGTAAGCAGACCTACTGTCTCAGATAAGGACTACAAAAATTATCCTCTGGTAGTGAGAATCTCAAATTCAGTTTTATTTTCCTCTTATGGTCCTATTTTCAAATGTCACTCTGAAAGATATATTTTTTAAAGCTTTATTTTTTAAATTGCCCTAAAAATAATTTAAAAAGTCCTTCTATTGCATTTGTTTACAGTACAAGCTACTTGATCAACTGCTTCTGCTTATCAGAATTTAGGGAGTGAGCAAAGTAAGCTTGTAGGCAAAGGATGATAAGGTTTAGGGAAAAAAAATAGAAATTTTATGTTTCTTATACATGTATATACATAGACAAAGGAACATTATTCCCTCCCTAAGTAGTAGTAAAGAGGTGACATTTTAAGTTGTAGGAGAGTTTTGCTGGTTTTTTTTAGCATCCTTTTGGTAAAATAAGGTAACCATTTTTTACTTAAGTTTGCCTATATCTTCACAATTGTACCAGAATTACAAATCTGGAATTTATGTCTATTTGTCATGGTGGACTGCTAGAACTACTACTTATTCTCTTAGACTCCAGAAGGTCTTTTTCTGCTTGGAAAAAAGCAGAGTACAAAGAACAAGTATTCTAAGAACATGTTTAAAGACCACATTTACATTTGTTACAGGTATATGCAGCTTCACTCAAAGAGTTGATTCTTAACTCAAGAATTGAGATCACTATCTGAGATCTCATCTCCTGGAACCATGCTAATGGTACACGTTTTTCTAAAGAAGAGATTTTGTTCTCTCATCCTTCACCACTTCCATGCTCAGGAATTTACTGAGCTAGCAGTCTGTAGTGTTTAAGAGCTCTTGATGACTTTTATTTCATGAATTCATCCAGTTACTATTTAACTCACAAAATTTTAGCTGTTGCAGTGTCCCCTGACATGGAAATCAACAACTTGCTGCAGTGAGTGTCAACCCTAGAATCCTGTATTCCACAATTTCAAAAATGTTAAGTGCTCAAATCTTTCCACTTAAATGTAATTCATGTATATACTTAAAAACCCCACACAGCTACACTATGTTTTGCATGTAGTATATGCAGTGAGCATACTTAATTCCTGAGTGATACAAATATAACCGAAATAATTAATATGAACTTGGTATTTTCCCTTAACAAGATAAATGCAGGTCACATTAAGTCCAAACTCAGACTGTGTTTGAGACAGTTAATATGGACTAGTATTTCACTTCAGAATTACCTAAGGAAGGTTAGTGGGAACTACCAATTTCCTAACTAAAGTAGAAGCTCTAAAACCAACCAAAGGTAATATTACAAACATCCAAAAATCCCATTTTATTACATATATCTGAAAACATAACTTATATTTTTTAAGTATTAACCATATTCTAATACTTGTAACCAGATTAAGAACAATGCAACAGCCTCTGTGGCTTAGCTAGTCACTGCACTCAGAACTACGATCTTTTTAATAACACCTTACTGATGATAGAAGGGTTTGCCCTAAAAATTGCAATAGGGCATTTTCCCATGACCATCTAGTCAATGCCAATGTCTAGACATGCCAAAGCTGTGAATGAACTCACCTGCACTTAAAGTACTGTGTCCCTTCGTAGCAGCCATCATGTTTTCCTCTCTGAGGATCATCCCATTCCACACCCAGCCAAATTCCTGAAAAAAAGGTAGATACATTTTAAAATTTATGGCATCATATCCATAGAAATCACGGTTGGAAGGAAGCTCTGAAGTTCACTTAGTTACCTTCTCTCTCAAAGCAGGAGATTATCATCAGCTCTAAAACAAGCCAGCTAGGTAAGTCTTCACCTAGCCAGATATTGAAAATTTCCAAGGAGAGAAAGATTCCAACATATCTGGGCAGCCTATTTCAGTGCTGCATTACTTCTGTAGAAAAAGATTTCCCTGCTGTGGCCATTGTCCTTTATTATATAATCTAATACTAGTAAGAACAATTAGGCTCTGTCATCTTTGTGACTGCCTGTCAAATAGCTGCAGGAAGCTATTAGATGCCACTTTTTCTTCTCTTCACCACATTAACCAAGCCCAGATCCCTCAACCTCTCTTCACAACACAGGTGTATGGTCTGTGTCCTTGACCCCCCTGGCAGTTCTCCAAGACTCTTCCAGAGAGGAGATCTTTGAGATCCTCTCAAGTTTATCTGCATCCCTCTTGAATTGGGATGGTCCCACACCAGATACATTACTCCAAGTGCAACCCTATCAAGAACCCATGACCCCAGAGGGGGATAACAGCTTCCTTTTATTTGCAGGCCATGTTCATCATTCTAAGGTGACCTAGTACAATATGTATCCTGCTTGCCAAAAGAGCTCACTGTTGGCTCATATTCATTACAGTATCCAACTTAACTCCCTAGTCCTTTACAACAGACTGTGTGAGTTGCTAGTGCTTCCTGGTCCATACTGATACACTACATGTGGAAATTTATCTTTCTTGAATCTCTTGGGCTCAAACCTAAAGTTCATAAAGCTTGACCTGGATTGCAATTCAAACTTGTGTCACAGCAGCCATTTGAGGGTGAACACTGTTCATCACCTGAGACACTAATGAATACATGAATCAATACAGACCCCAGCCTTTACTTCTGTAGTACTCACTCATTCCCTGATATCAAGTCCACTTGACAACTTTCAACGCATTTTAATAGTCCATTCATTTCTCCAATGAACGGAGAAATACAAGCTGGCTTGTATTTCTCCAGCTTCCAAATAAGATTCTTTATGGAGACACTACTAAGAGACTTATTAAAGTCAAGGAATGTTACATCCCTTGCTCTCCCTTTGTCCACATTCCCAGTCGTATAATCACAGAAGGTAATTAGGTTTGTCAAGCACAGCTTATTCTTCTTTACAAGTATTAAATATTCCCAACTACCATCTTCTCCTTCATAGGCCTGGAAATGGACTTCAAGGGAACATGCTACATGGTCTTTCCAGAAATAGAAGCTGATGAGTCTACAGTTCCCTGGTCATCCTTCTTCCCTCTTTTAGAGCTGTATGCAAGGTTGGTCTTCTTCCGGGCATCAGCAATCTCCCCATCCTGTCACCACAATTTTTCGAAGATGACATGTAGTCATCTGACTCTCACTGTCAGACTGGCCAGATCTTTCCACAAGCTAAGCTGAGTCTTATCTGTCTCCATAAATTTTACCTGGGCTGGATAGTAGGTGCCCACCAAAGCCACTGTATCACTCTCCTCCTCAACTGGACAGGGGAGAAAAAAATATAATGAAAGGCTCACGAGTTGAGACAAGGACAGGGAGAGATCACTCATTGATTGCCGTCACAGGCAAAACAGACTCAACTAGGGATAATTAATTGAATTTATTATCAATCGGAGTAGGATAATAAGAAGTAAAGCAAATCTTAACACCTGCCTCCCCCAACCCTCCCTCCTTCCTGAGCTCTACATCCTTCCCCTCAGCAGTGCAGGGAGACAGGGAATGGAGGTTATAGCCAGCTCATCACGGGTTGTTTCTGCCACTGCTTCCTCCTCAGGGAGAGGAGTCCTTTCCCTGCTCCAACGTGGAGTCCCTCCCATGGCAGCCAGTACTCCACAAACTTCCTCAATGAGTCCTTCCCACAGGCTACAGTACAGTTCCTCACAAACTGCCCCAGTGTGGAACCCTTTTTTCATGGGGTGCAGTCCTTCAGGAACAGGCTGTTCCAGCGTGGGTACCCCATAGGGTCACAAGTCCTATCAGGAAACCAGTTTCAGTGGTGGCTCTTCTCTTCACAGGTCCACATGTCCTGCTCCCGCATGGCCTTCCCATGGGGTCACCACTTTCTTTCAGGCATCCACCTGCTCCAGTATGCATCTCCTCCATGGGCTGCAGGTGGATCTCTGCACTCCTGTTGACCTCCATGGGCTGCAGGAGAATCTCAGCTCTGGCTGAGTCTGGAGCACCTTCTCTCCCTCTTTCTTCACTGCTCTTGGTGTCTGCATAGTTGTTCCTCTCACATATTCACGCTCCTCTCTTCTCTGGCCATAATTACTGCTGTACAATGATGTTTTTTTCCTTTCCCTTCTTAAACATGTTATCTCAGAGGTGTTACTACCATTGCTGATGGGCTCGGCCTTGGCCAGATGCAGGTCCATCTTGGAGCTGGCTGGCATTGGCTCTGTTAGACATGAAGAAAGCTTCCAGCAGCTTCTCACAGAAACCACCCCTGTAGCCCCCCCTTCCATCAAAGCCTTGTCCTACAAACCCAAAACAATGTTATCAAAGGAGGATCCCCATCTGTTGATCTCCTCCTGCCTCTCTCTCACTTTCCCTGACTATGCCAGCACTGTTTGTGAAAACTAATGGAAAAAAGAAGGCACTGAGACCTTTCTGCTGTAAGAAAAAACCATAACCAACCTCAGCCCAAAGTACTTTTTACATTCCTTTTGACAACTCTAACTTCTAAAAAAACCCCAGCAACTTATCCAGAAGTTGCCATATTTACACAAGAACAATAAGGAAAAGACAACATTCTACTTGACAACGTTTTCATTCTGCTTGACAATGGTTTTTAAAGAAGCACATAAATAGAACTTTGAGAACAGCCATTAGATGTAAAGATAGTTGCTTCTGTGACCTTTACCTGATGTACGAGCCACGCTGCCCATATAGCGCACAGTCCCGTAGTCGGTGCCACACGAGACTCTCCGACCCAGCGCATCGGGAGGCACCCAGGCGGTCATCCCGGGATACCTGGAGTCCGGGTTCTCGTAGACCTGCAGGGATAGAAGCGACGCCCTCAACACACGTGCGAGTCGCTGCTTTACAAAGCCCCGTACCCTGAGCTGCTCTTCTGCCTCCCGGCGCTACCGCTCCCACATCCCATCCCATTCCATTCCCCCATCTCGGAGCAGCCTCTTTGGTGCCGGTCCCAGCCCACGGGCCCCGAGGCTCGGGGTGCAGCTCACGCACGGGCAGGAGGTGCAGCCCGGGCCGACCCGCACACACGCCCG